TGTTCCTGGCGTCGAGGTGCACCACTCCTGCCGGGGTCCTGCGCTGCACGCGTGCGCGCAACCGGCAGCTGGCCCCCGCGCTCGCAGGTGCCCAGCCTGCGGCCTCCTTTTCTTCAAAGCGCCCCGCCCCGGCCGACATGCCCATCCAGCCGACCCCGCCACCGCTGTTTGTTCCGCGGACGTCGATGTTCCGGCCGCTGGCTCGGCTGAACGCCCAGACGGAGGAGATGTTCCGGCAGAATGCCGCCCAGCAGGCCCCCCCCATCCCCGATCATCCGGCGCTGATTCCGGGCGAGCGGACGCACGATGACGACCCCTACCTGCCGGGGCATTCGCGCTATGTGGACATTGTGACGCCGCTGCCGAAAAATGCGCCGATTCTGCTCAAGGCCGCCCGCATCGGGCTGACCCTGGTGGGCCTCCAGTCGCGCGGGCCAATTGCCATGCGCCGCGCGCGCGAGCTCTTTGCCCGTGTGATGGAGGTGGCCGATGCCCGGCACAGCATGTTCGTGGAGCGTGCGTATCCGCCGGCCGCCATCACCAGCATCATCCCCGTCCTCATCATCTCCTCTCGCACTCCCCTGCCCTCCTCCCTCGCCCCCCCCCCTTCCTCTTTCCCTTCTGCTTGCCTGGCCCCCTTCTGTCGCTTCGTTCTCTCCCTCTGCCTACCGTCCCGCCTGCTTGCCTTTCGCCCGGCACTCACCTTTGGTTACTCCTCGCCCCCTCCCCCGCTCCCTCCCTCCCTCCCTCGCCCCCTCTCGCTCAGGCGCGGGTATGACGGACTCCTTCCAGACCTGGTTCCTGGTCTCCTACCTGCACGTGTGGATGTGCTCGATGCGGCTGCGCGTCGAGGGCCAGCCCGGCGACGATGTCAGCAAGCAGCTGGTGGAGCTTTTCATCGAGGAAGTCGAGCTGCGCATCCATCAGACCGGTGCCGTGCCCCGGCTGGATGCCACCATGAAGGTCTTTGTGGCCCAGATGCTTGGTGTGGACATTGCCCTGAATGAGGGAATCGTCGGTTGCGACTCGCTCCTGGCGTCTACCATGTGGCGGTGCGTGCACATGTGCATTTCACTCTCCGGCCATCGCTCGCGAAGCGTCTCCCTCACACCTGCCGCCCGTCCCCCTCCCTTTTTCCTGTACTGCCACACGCCTCTCCCTGCTTGGGCGCGCCTCGGGTGCAGTAATTTCACCGGAATGCGTGGTCGGCCGACCCAGCTCGAGTGGCTGGTCCGGTATGTCCGTTCGCATGTGGCCCACCTGGATGCCCTGTCCCAGTATGAGATTTACGCTGGCCACTTTACCTGGCCCCGGGCCAACGGCGATAATGTGCCGATCACCATCAATCGCGAGGCGGCCAACAAGGCCCCCTCGCCGGAGCTGCTGGCCGCGCGCATTGATCTCTTCCTGCTGGACGAGTATGTCCGCATGCACTCCGATGGCCTGCCCTCGAGCCTGCCGCCCGGCAGCATTGATCTCGACCGGAAGTACTGAGCGATGCGAGTGTGAGCGCGAGCGCCCGGAGCTTTTGAGGTGCATTGCCCGGTGGTTCGCGCCTCCCTCCGCCCTCCCCCCTGATGTTCTTTTTCCCCTTTCCCTTGGGTTTGGCTCTCGCCTGTCCTCATAGACGCCAGTTGCTGCTGGCCCTGGCGGGAACGCGGCCGCTCTCTTTTCAACGCCCCGGGCCTGTTCCCCCCTCTCGCTCTCTCGCCTTCCGCGGTCCTCCGGACACACATACATACATACGCACGCACCCCCCTCTCCCCCCCCCCCCTCTGAACCCCCGCCACCTCATCCCCCCCTATACCGGCACACATCCCCCAACCAACCTCCCGATAGACACCCAAAATCAATTGCAACATCTCTATTTCTTGCGAATGCCGGTGAAAGGTGGAAAGGAGGAGGAGCGAAGCAGAGGGCAGACCAGGGCGAGCCCATTAAAGGCAGGCACAGCGCGAGGCCGGGCTGGTGAAGATGGTATTGAGCCGGGGAAGAGGGGGGGGGGGGGGGGGAAAGTGCGCTCGTGCTGTCACTCTGCTCAGGGGGACGGGGTGTGCCACCGGGTCTAGGTGGACTTGGCCGCACGCGAGACAGCGTGGATCTCCTCAATGAACACACCCAGGTGCTCGGGCGAGTGGTTCGGCAGCATGCCATGGCCAAGGTTGGCGATGAGGCTGCCATCACCATTGCTATGGGGGTGGGGAGGAATGATGTTAGAGAGGGGAGCGGGTCCGAGGGGGAGGGAGGGAGGGCGGGAGGGGGACACGGAGGGCAAGAAGTCACGTACTCGGCCAGCATACGGCGGACCTCCTGGCGAATGACCTCCGGAGGGGCGAACAGAGTGCACGGGTCGAGATTGCCCTGAAGGACGCAGCCCGGGCCGGCCTTGGCACGAGCCGACTTCAGGTCGATGGTCCAGTCGATGCCGAGGACATCATAGCCGAGCTTGGCCACCAGGTCCAGCGAGTGCATGGCACCGCGAGCGAAGACCACCAGAGGGACGGCCTCAACACCATCAGCCGCCAGGCGGGCCTTCACGCCCTCGGCAATACGCGCGAGGTAGGGAAGAGAGAACTCCTTCAGCTGATGCGGCGGCAGCTCGCCAGCGTTCGAGTCGAACACCTGGAGGATCTGTGTGTATATGTGTGTGTGTGAGAGAGAGAGAGAGAGAGGGAGGGAGAGAGAATGCAAAAGGGCGCAACCACAAGGAGACAAGCTGAAATGATGATGATGATGATGATGATGATGATGATGATGATGATGATGATGATG